GGCAAGATGATTCACCAGAGACAGAGTGGGGAGCAGAACAGGCAGATCGAGGAAGTATACTGCTGAGTGGAGCAGCAGGTAGGTCAGGAGAGGTCTGCCGTGCCATGTGGGTCAACTCTGGGGCGAGGATTGAACTCATGATGAAGAGGCTTTTACTTAATGCTTTATCTGCTGCACCACCAGGGAGGGCCCCCATATATATTTTTTTACTCTGTTAGTATTTTTTTAAATTTGAAATTGTAACTGTCATTTAGTATTCTAGTTACCCATCTGTTTTTGCCAGTATCATAAACTGCCATGCTGAACTCTAATACTAACATCAACAGCAACTATACCCACCTCCTAATTTAGTATATTTTCAAAATCCAAAGTGAGTTTGCTATGATACAACTTATTTTAAGTTATCTTTTCTGGCTCATCTCCATAGCACCCTTCCTTTCTAATATACTTTTTGATGACATGTTAAAAAAGTCTTCCAAAGGGTCACCATTAAGTTTACTAAGTTATACTTTTCAGAAAATATACTTCTTATTTTTCATAAGAACATCTTCTGTCTTTGGTGTACCAGTTTCCATGATTTCTTAAACACTGTGAACATGGTTCAATCATCTCACCCTTAAGTCCTTGAGATTACTTAGAATGGGTATTTATCTACATCAAAAGGTCTGAATTAACTTAAAGCAGTTAAAGACTCCTTTATTTTATGATTTATCTTTCACCATTTTCAGCAATTGATGAGGTATTTTCCAAAACACCAAGAGTTATAAGACTGATGAGTACAAGATCAATGAGAATAGGAACTTTGTTTTAACACTATATTCCAGGAGCTTAGATGAGTGCTAAACGAGTATATAAGTGGCAGGAATAGCAATTTTTTTTTTTAACATTTATTTATTTGTGCATACAGAACTGGGGTACAGGCCAGAGGCTCAAGGGCAGTAAGAGGCTTTACCAGAGACAGAGCCGGGAACAGAACAGGCAAATTGACGAAATACACTGCTGAGGGGAGCAGCGGGCGGGTCAGGAGGAGAGGTCTGCCACACCATGTGGTCACCTCCCGGGGCAGGAGGGAATAGAGCTCATGCGGAAGCGGCTTTAGATTCTCAGTGCTGTGCTTTAACCCGCTGCGCCACCAGGGAGGGCCAGGAATAGCATTTTTTACCAGCTACCTTAAATATCAAATTCCTCCCACTGAGCAAAAATAATGTACCTTTTGTGCATTGGTCTAAGTTTTAATTTTTGTAATTAATGTTACATATTCATACCATGTTTTCAATTATCCTTCATCATGCTGTCCTTTCTATCTTTCATAACTGTAACATAAATGTTTGAACTTTTCAGGAAAACTTAGTGAGGCCTCTTGAATAACATTATTGGTGACTGGCAGAAATTGTTTTCAGAGTCTCAACATGTTGACTCTCTTCTGGTGTTTCAGACCAGGGATTATGTTCAATCACTTGCAGGCTATCCAGACTTCTTTGGGTGACTGGAATCAGTTTCAGCTCTCCACCATTTAGAAGATAAGAAAGCTCAGAAGTTACTAAATCAAGTAGATAGTTTTAGTGTACTGCGTTTAGCCAAAAGTAAGAATTTCACATAAACAGATGTATGTGAAGGTGAAACAGTACTTTGTAGCTATGTTGCCTGTGATTTGGTAGTTTATAATCTGACTTCAAAGTTTTATTAAAATCTAACTTTAAGAAATCTTTTATTGCACAAGAATCAGTATATATAAGGCATTAACAGTTCTGAGACACAATTTTTTTACCTGCATCCATTAAGGCTAAACTGCCACCACATGCAGATGCCATAGAAGATGACCCTATGGAAAGAAAAGTACTTGTTTTACAATATACGAATTTTTGTAACTAGAGAAAATTATTACTACTGTGTTTCCTTACGAATATTTAACTATAATGTAAATATTCTATATTCCTTTTTTCATATTAAAGGGTCATTTCATTTTATTGGGTCATAACTATAGTCTAGTTATACCCAGTAGAGAACATTTTGTCTCTAGGTTAAATTCTGAGCCTACTTTATTTATTTTAAAGATTTATTTTATTTATTCATGCATACAAGAGCTGGGGTGTTGGCCAAGGATGTGGGATGTGAGAGGATTCATCAGCAATTGAGTGCTGAGAGGAACAGGCAAGTTGACTGAAATACACTGCTAAGGGGAACAGCGGGGAGCCTAAAGGGGCCTAAATACACATTGTGGGTCACCTCCCCGGCTGGGGATTCAACTTGTGCTGCAGTGTCTGCGGATAGCTTCATAGTGCTGAGAGTTAATCCCTATGCCATCAGAGAGGCCCCTACTTTATATTTTCTTTAGTATCTATGTCTACAGATAGCTTCATAGTGCTGAGACTTAACCCCTGTGCTACCAGGGAGGCCTACTTTATTTTTTCTTTAATATCTATGATTATCTGGTTTATATCAGCAACATCTTTGAAAACTCTGTGCCTTTTCTGCCTTCAGTGACTATACCTACCTAGACAGAGGGACTGATTTTTTATTTAAATATTACATTTTATCTCAGTCTTCTGTCTTGTCTATTCAATTATCTGTTATATGACAGGGGTTGTCTCTGGCCTAACTGGATCATCCCATTTCCCCCTTCTTCACTCCAAGCCTGTACTACAGTTTGTAAAAACAAAGGAGCAAATGCCCTTAACTTAGCATATTTTAACAGATAGATAAGAGAAACATTTGCTTTATGCTGCTTTTAAAGCAACTCAGCAAAATATAATTTTAGACAAATACATGGGTAAACATTTTTCGCTCTGAAAGTTACTATAACAGGGAGTATGTCTTTTTGACAAAAATCTATTTTAGTATCATACCATTTGACTCTAGCACTTCAGAGGTGACTCTTATGGTGAAAGGAAAATCTTTGGGAATAACAGGATACAAAGCTTTCTCAGCAAGAGCACCTAAATCAGAATAGAAAACAGAAGACAATAGGAAAAAATGCACTAAGTCCACAAAAACATTGTATAAATTTACAGGTTTGTACTTACCATGCCCAAGTTCTCTTCTATTTATACCAGTCACTTTGCCAATTTCATTTGTTGCATAAGGAGGAAACTAAGAAACCAAAATAAAACATACATGCACATATACAATCAATATAAAAAGATATTTAAGATATAATACCAAAATAAAAAAAACAAATTATACATATACACATATCTACACAATGTATGGATATCCTAAATATATACCAAATCTAGCACTAAAGTTGCTATTTCTAAGCATCTGTGTAAACTGTGAATTGGGAAGTCAATGTACATCAGTGGAAGTCGCCATAGATTCCCGTTTTAACCTATTAACAAATAAAAAATATTATTTTTGTAACAAGAAAATATATATACATATACATTGATGAGTATAAAGTAATGAGAGTTTTACTTTAATCAAAGTTGCAAACTGTTTATTTGACCAATATGTTGGCTTAAAGGAATATAAATTAAGATCATTTGAAAAATTGAGAAATTTTCCATAGGAAATTGTAACTCTAGTTTCTTTATCAAAATATTTTATGAAAGAAGCAATGGAAGGTGAAATTAATCAAGTGCTGATCTACTGGTCAATTTTGTACGATAGAGAGGGCCAGAGGAACATGTTGAACAGCACCATGAATATGCAATCAGCGAAATCCAGGTTGTGGGGTAACTCCATAGGTTCAATGTATCTGGGATTTCAACAGATCAATTGTAAAGAAAAGAATCTGATGGAGGAGAAATCTAAAGATTAAAAGAGATTAAAAAAAATGTACAAAACTATAGTAATTAGATACAAAAGAAAGTCATCATTATAATACTTAGGAGAGTAGTTACTTTTAGGGAAGAAAGGTATTGAGAATGGGATGAAAGCATGGAGGTGTCTTTACAGTGAGTGGCAACATTCTAAAAATCCTCTGACCTGGGTAGTGCCTCTTAAAAACTCTTTAAGCCAAGCTTCCCCTTATATAGTTATCAGTATCTGAATTTCATTTCACAATAAAAAGTTCTAAAAGATAGGATGATATGAGTTAACAGCCCATAACCCTCTCCTGCTCAGAACCCTCTACCTGCTTTCCTAGTAATTATCTAGAGCTGCCCCCTCTTCTCCCTTTTTAAAGTTGCTATGTTCTTCTGCTTATGATAAAGGATGTGTTTTACTCATTTACAACTCCCCTCTGGTTTCTACAGTATATAGGTTTATTTACAGGGTATTTTTAGGGGACTAAAGATCTGAAGAAATTTCTGGGTTTATGGATCTATATTTCCTAGCTGAAATATTCTCTATTAATTATAGCAGATTCAACAAAATTGAGATACTGAAATTCTAAGCAGCCAAAAAAGGTCATTCAAAGGTGAAGTGAAATGAAACCAAATTTGGCTCTTCGAAAAAATAAAAAAAATAGACAAACTTCTAGCCAGGCTCACAAAGAACAAAATGGGAGAAAACACATATAAATAGAATCACAAATGAACAAGGAGAAATTACAACATTCTGATTATCCTTTTCAAGTCAAAAGAATAACCAGAGATTACTATAAACACTTACATGCAAACAAATACAACAATCTAGAAGAGATGGGCAAATTCCTAGAATGATATAATTACCCAAAGCTTGATAAAGAAGAAAATAGAACACCAAAACAGACCAATTGCAAGCAGCAAAACTGAAGCAGTAATCAAATTACTCCTCAAAAACAAAAGCCCAGGACCAGATGGCTTCAAAAATGAATTCTACCAAATGTTCAGAAATGAACGAGTGCCCATTCTATAAAAACTCTTTCAAAAAACTGAAAAAGAAGGAATATTGCCAAATATGTTCTACGAACCCAACATTACACTAATACCAAAACCAAACAAAAAAAGAAAACGACGGACCCATCTCCCTAATGAACACTGATGCAAAAACCCTCAACAAAATCCTTGCCAACAGAATCTAACAATGTATCAAAAGGATAATATACCAAGATCAAGAGGAATTCATTCTAAGAGCACGAGGATGGTTCAACATACGAAAATCAATCAATGTCTTCCAACAAATCAACAAAAACAAAAATAAAAACCATATGATCACATCAATAGATACTGAGAAAGCATTTGACAAAGTCCAACAAGGACAGTTTGTTAATAAATGGTATAAGGAAAACTGGACTGCTAGATGCAAAAAAATTAAGCTAGACCATTATTACCTCACACCATGCAAGAAAATCAACTCAAAATGGATAAAAGATTTGGGCATAAGACCTGAAGCCATAAAATATATAGAAGAAAATATAGGTAAAACTCTATAAGACATACATGTCAGTAACATCTTTAAAGACTCATCATTGAAAGCAGAGGAAATGAAGGAAAAGATCAACACCTGACATTACATCAAACTGAAAGGTCTGTACAGCAAAAGAGACATTAACCAAAACAAAGACACCCTACTGCCTGGGAAAAAAAATCTTTGCATTCCATGCAACAGATAAAGAGACTGATCACAAAGATACACAAAGAACTCACATGACTGAACAAAAACAAAGCAAACAATCCAGTCAAGATAGGCCAACAGGCATATGAAAAAAATGTTCAACATCCTTTATAATCAGGGACATGCAAATCAAAACCCCAGTGAGATACCACCTTACACTGGTAAGAATGGTGCATATCAAAAAAACTAGCACCACTGTTGGTGAGAATGTGGTGAAAAAGGAATTCTCCTACATTGTTGGTGGGAGTGCAAACTGGTACAATCTCTATGGAAAGCTATATGGAGGTTCCTCAGGCTACTGAAAATGGAACTACCATATGACCCAGCAATTCCATTCCTAGTGGTCTACATAAAGGACACAAAAACATCAATTCAAAAGGATACCTGCACTCCTATTTTTATGGCAGTACTATTTACAATAATTAAAACACGGAAAAAACCCAAATGCCCCAAAATTGATGAATGGATCAAGAAGATGTGTTGTATATACACAATGGAATATTACTCAGCAATCAAAAAGGAAAAACCCATGCCTCTTGCAGCAACATGGAAAGGATCATGCTTGGTGAAATAAATTAAAAGGAAAAAGAAAAATATCAGATGATTTCACTTATAGGAGGAATATAGGGAAACCAAGTAAGACATGGAGGAAAAATAATAACATACAAAACAAAACCAAATAGTTATAAATCAGAGACATCCTGCAGGGAAGGGGGAGAGAAAGGGATAGGAAGAATGGCGGGGGAAACACAGAGGACTATGGTGATGGTGCATGAGCAAACTGGGGGAAGACATTCTTTGGGGTCTACACCTGGGGGGGGGTAAATGAACATTGTTTTAAAATAAACAATGATGTAAAAAAATATAAAAAGTATTATAAATGAATATATAAATAAAAACTAAAAAACCAAAATGAAGCCACTTTCTATTTTACACTAACATTTCAAGATATATGCTTCAAATACTGAAATTAAAAGTATTATATTTTCATGTAATTTAATATTAAGTTCCTCAGTTTTTTACTACTAACAAATTGCAAACTGTGCAATATATGAACATTTAAATGAACTAAAATGGGCACAAGTCATTCTTGATTAAAACAGTCTACCACATTTTAAACTTTTATGTATGAATAAAATTTACCTTACCTCATAGTGTAGCATGAAATTTTTATCTTTTACCCCACTAGAAACAAAAATGTACACATTAAAAACATCATACAAATACTTATTCCACTAAATATATATATATATACATATATATATATATATATGTAAAGTTTTCTTGTTAAACAATTGGGTATTAATGAGTTGGTCTGAAATTAAAAACCTTAAGAATTGAAGGGTGAATGTCAAATCATGATATTTTTCCTTGGGCTTTTGAATATATTCTTCACAGATTTCAGAAAGCAGTATTACTTCAACTAGAAGAACTTAAATATACACATTTAACTACTCTGTTGACTTATATTTTCAAGCATTACTAAGAGAGAACCCTAAATGTCATAAATACATGGCCATATGGTGCAGCAGACCTCTCCTGATTCGCCGCTGCTCCCCTCAGCAGTGTACTTTGGTTGATCAGCCTGTTCTGCTCTATACTCTGTCTCTGGTGAATCCTTTCACCACCCTTGCTCCTTTAGCCTGTAGCTTAGTTCTATATGTATAAATAAATAAATGCTTATAAAAAAATCAGTAATTGAAATGATATAGCTGAAAATATTATATATTAATCAAAACGATTTGATAGGAAAGATCTTTTTAGGTTCTGAAAAGGGAACTGCCATGGCTATGCTCAGAATCATGGGAAGGGGGAGGGAAATGAGTAGGGTCTTAGCACAAATAGTATCCCCTTTGGGTGAAATTATAAAAGGTACCTCTTTTTGCAGAGGACAGTTCTTGGCTAGAGCTTAATTGCATAACCACAAGCTGAAAAAATGGGGAAGGAAATCTAAAAATCAGACTCCTTCAGAAAACTGAAACAATCATTGATATTGGAAACTAGATAGATCATTAGCTAGTATCCATATTCACAAAAGAAGGAAATAGATGGCCGGCAAGACTTAGTGATATGTGCCTCCTTACTTACATAGATAACAGACCTATGACTAGACTATAAAGAATGGTCCTGGCCAACCTCAGTGCTCTAGTAGAGAAAGGAGTCACAGTGAAGAATGTTATGGCAACCAAGTTTTGTTCAAGATAGGAATACAAAGAAAGCACGAGAACTCCCAGATAAAGGACAATGATTAATATGAGCAGCCCAGCCTCATACACACATATGCAAGGCCAATTTTACCAGCTATATAATAAACAATTAATGAGGTTATCTAGAAGATACTGGGGAAAAGGAAGGCAGAGTTCAGTGGCCTTCTGAGACCCTTAACCAGGGAAAGGGAAGTACACTTCTTAGGTACCAACGGAAATGTGGCTGTGAGTCACAGGAATCCAATGCCGTAATGCTGTGGGGACTGAATTACACATTTCATCATCTAAAATTGATCTACATGAGTTTATTAACTCATGTTTATTAACTAAAAAGTTTACTAACTTTTTAGGAACAAAGGAAGAGAGCCAAATATTTCTGAACACAGACTTAAATGTGAAATTGGCTATAGATCAGGTATTTTGCATTTGCCAGTAGTCTTCATGTTCCTTTTAGCAGCTGGAAGTCTTATTTATTAATACATATTAGATAACAGAAATATTATTTATATTCCTTCCTTGTTTACAGTGGGTAAAGTTATCTATTCTAGACTACCTAGCAAAATTTGCCCTGAAGAATGGTTCTAGAGACAGAATAAACTAAACGTACCTACATTAAAAATTTATAAGCTTCATCAAAATATCCTCCAACAAATAAAAACATCAACTCAACTAATCCCTTAAAATAACTATTTACTATGTAAAGAGAATAATTAAATACGTAGATATAGGTTTAAACAATACTGAATAATAATATACCACACGATTTTCAATTAGTACTAGAATATCACAAGTAGAAAACATAACTTACTTTATAGCTGTTATAATTCGGTCTGACTTAATACTGGATTCTAAAGAATCAAATGTCACAGTACAAAGCACCTAAAAGAGCAAAAAAAAAAACTCTTTAGGATTCAATTTACTTCAGTTTTACAAAGATGAAAACTAAAAATATTTAAAGAACCCCCATAGTTCTTACAGGAATATGGTTAAGTTTATTTTATACTTAGCTAGTCATGGTAGTAACTTTAATACAGTAAATACATATGCATTTACAAATATTAGTGTTATGTATGAACCTCAGTTATCAAAACATCTAACACTGCAGGACTATATATACTGATATAAAGGACTATTAGCAGTACTGGGGAAAGAGGGTAAGAGTGGCATTTTATAAAAAATGACCATAAAGGAAACCTCAATGAAGGTTTGACTAATAAAGCTGCCTGCTTAAAATGTTTAAGTCAGTCATTTTTGGAGAGATACTGCATAATCCAGAAACTCTCCAAGGTAGCATTCACACTGTCCATGATATAATCTGTAAGCAGGAAATGGGACCCTCCCTTAAGAAAAAGGATGATGAGAGGAGACTGACTCTGAGTTGATTTAGATGTTGGATTAACAGAAAAGGATTTTTACAGCTATTATAACTGTACTCAAAAACATATGAAGTATTTATGGCTAAAATTTTCAGGTTTGATGAAAGAAAAGAATTTACACCTTCAAACTCGGGAAATTCTTACTAGACTAATACTAAGAAAATTATACTTTCAGCCATAGTGCTGAAAACCAAAGACAAAAGTCTTAAAAGTGCATATAGGAAGATGGCAGCAGAATGAAGACATTAGGCTTGCCTCCTCTATGAACTCACAACTAGATTGCAGATGAACACAGGGAAAAACCCTTGAAGGAAAAACAGATGCCCATAGCACAAACTAGGAGCAATGGTCTAATGGAAGTGAGTTGGAAAAACTTATATAAACTGTGTTTATATAGACACTGTGGTAGTACAAACCATAAAAGGGACTTTTGCAGTATAGAACCCCTTACACTTGTTCACTCAGACACATGCCAATATCTGGAATTCTTAAGATCTAGTGCAGCACTGGATAAAAAGGGTGCACAGAGTTGGTATAAACACTATAGGAGACTTGCAGGGATGGGGGTTCTTAGCAAAGATTACTTGCTTTTTGAAGCTTTCAAAATAGAATAGTGGGCCCTCCCTGGTGGCGCAACGGGTTAAAGCACAGCACTATGAAGCTATCCACAGCCACTGCAGCACAAATTTGATCCCCGGCCAGGGAGGTGACCCACATGGCGTGGCAGACCTCTCCTGCCCACCTGCTGTTCCCCTCAGCAGTGTTTCAGTAGATCCACCTGTCTGCTCCCCACTCTCACTGATGAATCATCTTAACCCCAGCACCTCTGGCCTGTACCTCAGTTCTTGTGTGCATAAATAAGTCTAACAAACAAAACAAAATAGAACAGTTAGAGTCTTAATCTGTAAGGAGAAACAGGTTGTATACACAAACCACATAAGAGATTTATAGAAGAAGCTACTATATATCTGGGTCAAGGCTGGAGTCATCAAAACACTGGTCATTCCTCATACAAGGGCTACAACCCAACAACAAATGAACATTTCCATAAGTTCGAGTTTAAACACCTGTAGTAACAGGAGCAAACACCCAAGAATAAGGCTCTGGCTGGAATTAAAGGTGAGAAAGAATATAAGCATTATAAAACCTGTGATGAAAATTGTAAAAATAACCATTTTTCTCTCAATTTAATCTACAAATTCAGGGAAATCCCAAACTAAAATCCCAGAGGGTATTTTAAAGAGCTTGAAAAATTCAAATGATGGAACAAATACACCTGAATAACCAAGACAATTTGGGAGTAATCGAATGAGAAGGAGGGCATTTGCTTATCAGATTATTCACACCCCAAAACTGCATGAGTTACAACAGTTTGACAATGATCCAGAAAACTCAAAACAATGGGAGCATATAGCTAAAAAAAAAAAATGTATAGTTATAATTATGAGGTGATAACACAAATCAATGGGAAAATGAACTACTGAATAGTGTTAGAAAATTGGTTTACCATGGTGGTCCCAATTTTACCATCATGTATAAGACTAACTCCAAGATAGAGAACGATCAAATTTGACAACTAAAGCTAGCAAGATGATAGAAAAAAGAAACAGGTGTGTAATTTTATGACTTTGGGACAAGAGAGAAGTTCTTCAACAAGACTTTACGAAACAGAAAAAGGGGAAGGATTTACATCAAAATAAAAAATTTGAGATTCACTCTAGATATATAGGAGGCCACTATAAGTGACAAAGTAAAAATGCATACGCCAAAGAAGATGATACATACAATGTCTAGTAACTAAAACTAATCCATTAAAAAAAAAGATTTATTTATGAATGCATACAGAACTGGGGTACAGGCCAAACATGCAGGGGCAGTGAGAGGATTCACCAGAGACAGAGTGGGGAGCAGAAGAGGCAGATCAACAAAGCACACTGCTGAGGGGAGCAGTGGGCAAGACAGGAGAGGTCTGCTGGACCATGTGGGTCACCTCCATGGCTGGGGATGGAACTTATGCTGAAGCTGATGTGGCTAGCTTTGTAGCACTGAGCTTCAACGCATTGTGCCACCAGGAAGGACCTAAAATAACCAATTTTTAAAGCACGAAGAATTTACTAGAAAAACTGCAGGGAAAAGTAAACGTGAGAAAAGAAACATAAATGGGCAAAACTTATGGGCAGTAATTCACAAAAGAACAAGCTTGAACCAGCACTATCATAGTATAGAATGCCAGGGGACATGACCTTATATGAAAATAGTGCTGTTTCCCAGGGTATGGTTTGTAGATCTGGTGAGCATGCTGACTGGCTATTACATAAAGAGATGGTCAGTTTCACTAAGATCAGGGAAATACAAATTAAAGTAATAGTGCACCAACATATGCTAATCAGATTAGGAAAATGAGTGATTAATGTAAGAAAAATGGGTATTTTTGTATAATACTATACATAAAACAATGGATACATATAAATATTAAATATAGCAGCATGGTTGCCTACTTAAAGAAAAGGACTGAGGTACAAGCTACATGGAGAAAACAAATGGGATGCATCTTAAGAAGACCAACCATTGCAATATGCCATAAGTTGAGGAGTATGACTGACTCATTTTTGTGTACCTGAGATTAAAAAAAAATTAGAATGCAATAAAAAGTAAGCTAACTCTAGAAAATACAAACTAATTTATAATGACTAAAGCAGATCAATAGTTGACTGAGGAAAGGAAGGGGGCATAAAAAAGAGATTATAGAGCATGAGGAAACTTTTGAGGGTGACAGTTATGTTCATTTCCTGATTATGGTGATAGTTTCCCAGCTGTACACGCGTGATAATTTATCAAGTCCACTCTTTAAAAATATGTGTAGTTTTCTGTGTGACAGTCATCCTTTAATAATGCTATTAATATAGTTTGCAGTATCAAATATTAATGTGAATAGATAATACATTCTATATAAAAACCTATAGCAGCTATACAATACTTAAGCAAATAACTAGTTTTTTACATTACCTGTGTTTGTCCCCTTTGAAACAATGCTGATCCATGAAGAATTTTAAACATGTCTACCTCACAATTTATATTCCTAAGTGAAGTCAAATCTCGGCCATCACACCTATAAAGGAAAGAAATACTTAAAGTAGTGTTAGAAATCAGAAAAACTGCATATTAACTCCTGCTGCATATCATACTATAAACATCTGGGCCTCAAGGTAAGTCCCAAATGAGTCAGAATTCCAGGATTGTGACCCACAGACCTTTATTGTTTAAAAGTTCTGCAGGTAATTCTGACATGCAGTTGGGGTTATATACTGGGTTGTTGGAAAAATCATGACGCATTTTCCCTTAAAATTCAAGGAAAAAGTCATGACTTTTCCAACAACCATGCACAGATACACACATATTCAAACAACCCATATACTCTTCAATACGTGCTCATTTATAAAATAAAAAATATTAATTCTTTACCAATCGCTTAAAAAGAGCCAATTTCTTGCTTGAGCAAGTTGCCACTTTGAAAACAACCTACAGAGATAGCACATACTTCAATTTCATAGAAAAGGGATATATTTACCTTTTGTATTCATTCAAAATAATACTTCTAAAAACCTCCTTTGCAACAACATTGAATGATTCTATTATTTCATATGGTTCAGCCTCTGGAAATTTTTCTATGTAAGAAAGACAAAACAAAAATGAAGGTTTTCTCTGGAAGATATTTCTCTTAAGTTCACAATATCAAATAAAAAGCTAGAGGGATACACCAAAGGAACTGATTCTGAATATTCAGTCCTTAGGGAAACTAAGTCAAATGTTCTTTGTCAGGTTAGAATAACTTTTAATATGACACTTTAACATGAACTTTTATGCTTTTAGCTGGGTTGCACCTGGAGTATGAAAATATTCTATGGACCCAGAAAGTCATGAAGACATTTACTATGCAGAATACCAAGTCACTTTCCTTAAGCAAGGCAACAGATATTACATGACTTTTACTTTTAATAGATTGGATGAAATATATTGACTATTAATTTTCTTCAGTGGCAATTGCAGACTTTATATTAATGCTAATCAGCAGTTTTTAATCTTAAGGTACTCAGATGAGAAGGTATTTGTCTACCAGAAAAATTAACAAAGGGCTATCCCTGGTGGAGCAGAGGGTTAAAGTGCAGCACTGTGAAGAGATCCATAGCTATAAGCAGTACAAATTTTGATTCCCAGCCAGGGAGGTGACCTACATGGAGTGGCAGACCTCTCCTGATCCACCCATTGCTCCCTTTGGCAGTGTATTTCAGTAGATCTGCCTGTTCTGCTCCCCACTGTCTCTGGTGAATCCTCTCATTCCCAGCCTCCACCATACCTATGGCCGTATCCTTGTTCTTATATGCATAAATAAATAAAAGTTAAAAAAGAAAAAAGAAAACAAGAATTTGATGTCAGGTTTGGTATCAATGTAGTTTGTATGTGATTTATATATAAAAAAGTCTTTTGCCGAATTTCTTTCTTTCTTTCTTTTTTTTTTTTTAAAGCTTTATTTATTTATACATATAGAACTGGGCTACAGGCCAGAGGTGTGGGGAGTGAGAGGATTACCAGAGACAAGAGGGGGAGCAGAACAGGCACATGGACTCAAATACACTGCTGAGAGGAGGTCAGGAGAGGTCTGCCACACCATGTGGGTCACGCCCATGGCTGGGTATTGAACACGTTCTGCAGTGGCTGTGATAGTTTCATAGTGCTGTGCTTTTAACCCATTGTGCCATCAGAGAGGGCCCTACTTAATAATTTGTCTAAGTTTTGCAGTTTCATATGATAGTAAGAACAATATCATTAACATGGCCCAAGATTACTGCAATTTCTCAGATTAAGAGCTCAAAAATAAAATAAAAAATCGTTCATGTTTTCAAATGACAGCCTACCCTACAATGTTATCCCTAGATCAGAGGGTAAGAGTCTGATCTAGAAAAGATCAGGAATATTTTACATTTAACACTTACCAGCACCTAACCTGTGTCAGAACAGTACTTACACATTTTATAGACATTCATGATACACCCCAAGTTAGTACTAAATTATCATTAGTTTACTAAAGAATATTAAAGACCAAAGAGAATAAATGATTTCTAAAAGTTCTTACAACCGAAATGTTTTAAAGTCTACTATTTCTTTTAAATATTTGTAAATTAGGAAAAAATTACCTTTTAGTTGTTCCTCTGTATCTAATCGTATCTTGTTAACAGCTTCATCTCTAGAGATCTAAATCAAAGTTGAGATATAGTTGTACATATGTGGCAACATTCAAGGTTTCTATTTTTAATTTTCTATGCAATTGATGCATTGTAAGAATACTGAGAGTTCTCTGATGATGCTATTTATTTTAATAAAGATGAGAACTGGTTGATTCACAAAAATATTACCTGTTTAATTCAACATATTTACTAGAATTTGTATTAATCAACAAAAGAGAGAAGCAAATATATACATATGTATATATAACTATATAT